GTAGTATTTTCTATCTATTTTTGTAATTTGCCTGTTTGGGTAAACCATGCAAGTGAAAATCTGGTTAAAGCTTATTTTAGATGGTAGTTTGCACTTCATATTTTTGATAGATTTTCTTTCCATACTGGCTTTACATTATTTAGAGGCACGTGTGCTGATGAGTGGTACGCGGTGTTTATTTCTGGTAGGCGAATTCCAGTTCACCTTCCATTCCTTTCGAATTTTGGTTTCAAATGGTCAATCGATGTTCCATTACACACTAGGAGAGGATTACCTTCACGTTCATAACGTCCCTTCAGTTCTGTACACAGTTTGAGTTTACTGTCTTTGCGTTCTTGCGTTAGTTCTTTTAGAACTCGAATAATTTTTATGAGTGAACTGTTTAAAGCTGATTCCAATGACGCCAGTCTGCGCTTCAAAATCCACTAAGCTCTTGTTATGTACCTTTTTCTTTCTATCATTTGTCTCTTTAATTATTGCATGTTTCTTATAAACTTATAAAGTATAGATGCAGCTTGAATGAAATCTTTTTAAATTATAAATATAAGTTTATCCATTTTTAAATATTCAAACAAATTCAATTCTCTGTATCCTATAGACTTTGGATTTTAGCAGATGTTAGAGACTATATCTATGGAATCTTTTTTACAAGAAGTAAAATTTTACAGTAATTTCGCATATATTTAACTTACAACTGTCTAACATCAAAAGATAAATGATAGATAACAAACGACTATTGTGAATTTCGGAGGTCAAAATGTTCAACATGCACTAACGCGTGATTGAAACTTTTAAAGCGCAGTAAATTCTCTATAAGACAAGCTTTCAGCATTGTGAATACATAGAATGTATATTATATATAATGGATTTAAAAAAGTCACCAATTTACATGCCTTGAAAAGGGAAAATTCCAAAAAAAAGAAAACAATATCGTTTAAGTAGCTGGTAAGTGACAAATTGTACAATTGAGAGCGTGTACAAGAGGAAATTTTATTGTAGATTGTATATTGTTTAGCGTATGCTTGTTGTTGTTGATTTTATTTTATTAAAAATACTAGTTGAACTCCTCCAACTTTGTCCAACTGGTCCAAATTTGGGCGGGTAGGTATCGTTGCAGGTGGTTGATGGCATTTTATTAATGAACTATAATTATTGAAACTAGCACTACAAGTGACAAACAGTTTGTATTAAGATTTCAATTGTGTATGGTATGTATGTACAAAAGCAGAAAGAGAGTGTGGCTGATTAGTAATTCTTATAAAAAATAGTTCTGCGGCATTCTGAATCGAGATTTGAAAGGCAATGACTAAGTGAATTTGAGCTGTTATTTAATAAGTCTGAAGGAATTGTGACGAAATCACTTTGAATGAAGTTTAGCAGACACAGTTTTGCCGAGGTCAAAGAAAGATTATTTGAAAAGAAATTCAATTTTATTTAACCAGTAAGTAAAATTCGACCATTAAAAATAAGATTGCCACGTGGGATTCCATTTTGGCTTAACGTCGCGCCTTATCATGGCATTCAGTGTATTTGTAAGTTTCTTTGTTGCAAAGGTTGTCGACACTCATGTATTTAAACTTCTGAGGATAGAAAACTAGCTATCATTAGTTCTGTTTCAGTTTGAAATACAAGTTTTGTAATATAATCAAATTATTTAATCGTCTGCTTGTTAAACGTTAGCTAAAGTTGGATAATGTATGTTGGTACTGAAGGAAAATACAACTTTTGAATATTTAAATCAGTGGAAAGAATCAGCGGCTCCTTGAGTTGCAAATCAAAAACAAAGCTGTATCTATTTTGTTAAAAGTGGAACCAATCGAACCGTTGTTTTTCTCAAGAAACTGATACATCAGATGTGAAAGTGACACGAGGATTCAATAGGCAGAGCGATTTAGATATTTTTTAGAGATATTAAATAATAATATAATCCAATAATAATATTAAATTATTATCACTCCTTTCAATAACATCATCAAAGTCCAATCAGGATGAAATGTCAGGCATTGTCATGTCCAGTTCCTATGTAAGTTCGTAAGAGCTGCGATTGGTCGACAGACTTCCAAAAATTGAGAAGTATTAAGCAGTTCTTTTTAAACAATTCCAAGTAATATTTTTTCGCATCCATATTTCGCTTTCAGGTGGCAACAAATTCAATGAAACTACAAAATCTGTAATCATTTAGGTATAACTTTTGCGGAAAACTATTGATGTAGTTTAATTATTCTATAAAGTATGTTTCTCCGGAAGTGCCCGGTTTTTTTNGAGTTGCAAATCAAAAACAAAGCTGTATCTATTTTGTTAAAAGTGGAACCAATCGAACCGTTGTTTTTCTCAAGAAACTGATACATCAGATGTGAAAGTGACACGAGGATTCAATAGGCAGAGCGATTTAGAAAAATATCAGACGACTTTCGTTGGCCTACTTGCTGTACTTAAATGCTGTCAACAACAGTCAGTATACAGTAAACATTAGCATTGACCTTGAAAACTAAAATGGATAGACGTGTTGCAAAACAAATTCATCAACTCGTTTTCTAGGCTACCTTACGATTAGTGAGGACCTATTTTTTATTGACCGACAAAAAGTACAACCTTGAAGAAGGAAAGGTAAAAGTGAAATAAATAGACCACAAAACGATCAACGAAAATTTCATTGGTAATTACAATAAGATGACTAAAAGACGCTGCTGTTACATATATGGTAGTAATGAGACAGGATCTCAGTATGTCTCCAGGGAAGATACTACGTTTCATAAGTAGCCTCTCTTCTTTTGAAGCGCCTTAGGTTTAACGGTTTGATTGATGATTGTTTGGTACCAAATTAAAAGTTTAAATACGCACATTCCTAAAATATAGACCCATTATCATAAGGTCGACAGCCCTAAAACTGTTTAGACACAAACCTTCACTCTTTCTATCCTCAACCAATCTTCGTATTTCCTTAAAACTGGACCAGTCTACATTCCTAACTATTTGTGAACAGTAATCGAGTCTAGGTCTACTTCTTTTTCTCTTAACTCATGTTTCTGCTTCTAATATGTCTCTAACTAGCTCTTCATGACTGATAAAGTGTCTTGCTACCTGCTCTCCTGCTTCTTCTAATACCTCCTCATTTCTTACCTTTCTAGCCACGGTATCTTCATCACTCTCCTAAAACACTACATCTCGAACGCTCCTAACCTTTTATTTTCAGTCGCGTTTCGCACCCGTAAAGCGCCGTGCTCCAGATCTACACTTTTAACAATATTCTTCGAATTTCTAAATTAACCGTTCGTGATTATAGAAGTGACCTGTTTTATATCTCTAGTGCTCCTTCCATCCTGAGCTATCTAACTTCCTAGATATCCAAGATAAGTCACGTTAAAAAACGTTAGGGTTATATGGGGAACTTGCCCTGAAATTATAATTATAATTTAATAATGATAGTCGTTAATAGTGCATTACTGAAAGATTTATTCTAAAATGATTATTTTTTGCGAAATATTTTAATTATACGTTATATAATGTTGATTGTTGCGGGTGTGTTGCTGGCCTAGATTTTCCTAAGGAACACTTAAACCCTCTTCGATAAAAATTAATTTATCGAAGTCTATTTTTTAGATATAACGGCCGAATATTTTCTATCGGTGGTATTCTTCTTGGAGCAGTACGAGCAGNATGTTGAATGTTGCGGGTGTGTTGCTGGCCTAGATTTTCCTAAGGAACACTTAAACCCTCTTCGATAAAAATTAATTTATCGAAGTCTATTTTTTAGATATAACGGCCGAATATTTTCTATCGGTGGTATTCTTCTTGGAGCAGTACGAGCAGTAAACGACTTATGTGATTTTTAACTTTTTAATAATCAACATACACTTAAACTAACACCAAAAAAAAACACTTAAAAATAACTACAATGAATGAACTACTGATGAACTGAATAGATAATTGATTGAACTTGGCAGAGAAAACTAAATGGTTGAAAACATGAAAACTTAATGAGATTATTAGATAGATAAAATGCTTAAATATAACAAGAAAATATAGGGGGTGGAGGTACGTTAGTGGGGTGTTTTTGACCTTAGGCTACGGTTAGTGACTACGTGACTAAAATCAGAATATTGTTGTGGATGGAAAGACCATCGACCCATCTGGTGACTAACGCGAAGGGACGTTACCTGCCGAGGAAAATCCTAAATACAATAATGATAACGTTCCTTTGTTGCAGGCACGTTAAACAAAACTTAACACTGCGAAATACACAAATGTTTTCGTTGTTCAAAAGACGCATCATGAATTGCGCCCCAACATATAAATTGAAACGTAATTTAAAATACCAATCAGCGCATAGTAACGTCAGTCCATAAGTTAGTTGTAAATCATACTCATTTCTGAAGTTCATGATAAGTACACATTTGACTTATCTACATAAAAAAAATGCTGTCAATGTAGCATTTAGTAGCTGTCTCAAGGTTTTTGCAATATATAAATATAGGCTTAAAGACAAGGTCAAACAGCTTCATTTTTGTTTTACTCTACACAAGAAACTATCTTATAACTACAAGCAACGTATTTCCTTATGGGGCGGTTACACAATCAAATATACAAAATAAGAAATCAAATCATTTTTATAAACAATTTATGGTAATTGTCCAGAATTGGGGCTCCAGACCAAAATCGCTCTAAAAACATTTTCATCAATTTCCGGTAATTCTACTTAGTAGAATTAGATATTAGAAGATGGGGAAGACAGTTTTTTATGACTTCATAAATAAAAAAAAAATTTTTTGACGATAATATTTCAAAATTACCCCAATTTTGGATAATTACCTACTTGGTGACGTCATTTTTTGGTTAGGTAGATTTATCACTGATTGGAGTTCAAGTAAGACCCCTGCCCGCCGGAGGCGGACTGATATGTTAAAGTATTTTATTCACAGAAAGCATTAGTTATATACATTTTCTAGTACATCGGAATTTCATTCNGTACAATATCTTAATAAATTTTTCTTTTGTTGCAGTTGAAGGTGGACTATGGGCAAGCCCAGCTTTGGAGGAATTGGATGAAAGAAATGATATTGAAATTTATAGAGCAATATTAACTTCTATGAATGAATGGCAAAAGAAGCAAAACTCCAGAAAACATGAACACAATAGGTAATGACAAAAAAAACGCCTTTTTCTATATAAGATATTGATAAATGCATAAAAGAGTGAGATAGGTTATTTATAGGACAGTGCAAATACTGTAGGTACTACTATATTCGAATTAATGTTCAAAATTTAAATATAATTGGAAAAAATGGAATAATTATATTCTACAAAAATTATCGGTGACACTCGAATTGAGCACAGGGCGTAAGCAGGTAAACATATGTTATTTAAAATAAAGTATGATAAAAATAAACGATTATTGAATTTAAGGTGGTTATAGATTAAATAATGTACCACAAATAATAATAGCACTGTTTAATGGGGTCAAATTGTGGTCGACATACACATGAGATTTTAAAAATGCAAATTCTCGCAATCTTCGCATACTCCTTCGAAATGTCTCAAACCAGCTATTCTTTTTTTGTCCAGTAGAACTTCTTTCTTACTACTTTTGCCTGAACTAGGGGGTCTTATCAGTGTAAAGTTTCTTTTAGCTAGTTACTGCTCCGGACTATATGATGTAGGTGCCGTTTTCTTGAGTGCTGTGCCTTAAAAGCAGAAAATGCTACCATCCGCAATGCTCGCAAGAACATTCCTTCGCATCGTAAGTGGAATTGTAAGGGGAAATCCAAGGAATTACCCGTGTTTTCAGAGGTCTGAATAAGCTCAAACTCAAACTACAATAATAATAATTAGTCTAGCTATAGCGTTATCGACACTAATATCGAGTATCAAATGAGTTTGCGTTATTAGTCTAATAATTTTATTTATGTCTTTATAATGTTTATGCAAATTAAATAAAATGCTTTAATTACCACGAAGTAGTAGCTTCATTCAATGAATAGTAATATACATAAGTACTACATTAAAGAACCATTTTGCTGTCGTTAGGTATATTAAGCTGCTTTTAAGTAGGTAGGTAATCATAAAAATACAATATATTGAAAATGTTAGCTTAATGCTTTGTATACTTGAGTTGTTAATATTTAATCTTGAATAAAAGTAACTTAGAATACTTAATTCTCACATTTAGCTTCATCAGTTACACCAATACTAAAACATAACCTCAAAATGGGGAGAGAGGTTCAGCAAAATTTCATCAAATCTTATTTAAAGGAGCGGGAGCACTGAAAAACGCGCGTTAACTTTTAAATTCAATGAATATACTTTACTATTATATACAGAAAGTGACTTTTTTTTTGCTATTTTGGGGTGTTTAGATAGGGAGAGAGGAGTCCCACCAAATCTTGGTAACTAAGGAGAAAGAAGGGGTTGAAATTAATGGTGTCGTGCTCGTAGCGCCGATATTATTTGCGCGCTCCTATACTATTAGGTAAAATTTAATAAATATGTGAGCTTATGTACAATAGGTTTAGCATTGTTTATTGTTTATTTTTTAGTTTAGTTAATTCAATTATTATTTTGCACAAGAAAACTAGCCTGTTTAAAATTAAAGAAGTTAAAAGACCGTCATAATTTAAAAAGGAAAATCACGTGTTTTGACAATTCCGCCGAAAATCATGAGAAGTTTTTACTTGATAAAATTGGTTATTTGCAAAAGAAAATAAGAATTGAATACGTAAAAAAAGATGAAACAATAAAAACTATTCTAGAAAAATTTAATGTTGATAAAGGCTTGGGAGCATTGACATACACCCAGAAGTGTATAACTTTATATAATAGAATGAGTGTGACTCAAATGCAACATTCGCATTTTTATAAATTAGGGTTCCTAATACTGTACATTTTATGACGAAGGTTTCTAATTTTTATACTTTTAAACACTCCCGTTTTGTTTGCACAAAACTGCCATTCAGGGTCGTTAAGGCCGTTCTGGGCAAAATATTAAATAGCCACCCTTAAAAATACTCATGGTCGTGTATATACCGATATAAAAAACTTTTCTTTTGAAATTTTTATTTATGCAAATCTACCTAATATATACAAACAAAACATGTGTCGTACAATTCAAAGTAAAACTATATAAATATCAATGTAAAAACCAAATAGATTTTCTAGCTTTAATTTCTGCAAAAGTAAAAATTAAATCGTTATAATTTAATATAATTGACACATCATTTTTTATTGAAATTAATGCCAATCCGCTGAGTCTATTTTGATCCATACTTGATTTTAAATAATTTTAGATTTATTTGTAATTTAATTCGTAATGACTCGAGTGAATACCCTCACTAATGCCTTATCTACCCATTCCGCGAACTTAAAAACGCACCCCCTTAGCATTCAGATTCCGTATAATTAATTTAATTATCTCTTTACAAGAAGATATATGAGCACTTATTGCTTGTACTGTTTACTAATCCGTGGCGCAATGTTTCATTGTGGTGACCTTTATATTCATCTATATAATGTCAGTAAAAAACCTGGATAATCATTATGTTCTCAGCATGATTCATTATCACAATATCAAAGGTCTGTTGAAATTATAATTTGCCAAAGTGCATACTCAATATTAGTCAATCATCCTAATGATTACCGGAAAACGTAAATTCTGGTCCGACGATTTTTATTACCGATCAATATATACCTGCACTTAATGGGGACGATAAACGTAATGCGGCAGTTTGAAAATCTTACAAACCCGATAATAGTATATTAAAGTCTATTAATGCAAAAAATTTAATTAGTATCATTCGGAAGTCGAACAAGAAAACTTTTCCCATTTTTTTAGAGGAAAAGCTGTTTCCTCAAATATATAATTTTCTAGTATACATTCATAAAAATCACTCACTTGCCAATCATCCGGAGGAAGTGCCATTAAATAGTCAGTGAAACCATGAACAACATCGTTAAGTCTAAGACACGGGTAAAAAAACACTTAATAAGTCTTACTACTTCGGATTTCGTTCTATATTCAGTGGAAGAAATTTAATTTTTCAATATCAACCTTAGCCTAGTCGAAAATACAAACTTTTGTCCTTAATTTAATCAAAATAGATTATGCTGCATTATGAATTGCTGTCTCGAAATCCACAAAAATATTTTGTGATGAAAACTGATACATTTAAGGCATTTAATATAGGTCTCTGCAGTTTTATCGGGAAGTAAGGAAAATACGAAACGTGCCTACATATGAATCATGTTACAAGGCATGGAAAGTAAATACTTACATGGTAAAAATATTTTGGACAACTTTAAATGTAAAATCCACGTAAACTTTGGTCGCATGATAAAGCAGTTCTGCACCTTGAAGTAAACGTTAAGGTAAATCGGATGGAATTTACGTACGACTACAAAAAACCTCGGACGGAATTTACGTACCCTTAGAAGGCCATTAGTGTATTTCAAACGGAATTTACATCAACCCATGATTACGATTACATTATGTGTACGTGGTCTATTCAAAAAGTATCGGGAATTTTGAATTTCCTAGGGTTACGTATATCCGATTTCCGTTTATTTTTTTGTGGCGTATTATTGGTACTCATGCCTCATGTCTCTCTCTTATACCGATAAGTGTAGCCATGTTGAATGTTTAACTTGCTTGCACGTGTTTTGGCTTGCTTTCGAATTTTGCTTATTCCAAAACACGGATCAAAGGATCTATATCAAATTTTGTGTGAAAAACAAAATTAAGTACGCGGACGCATTCCAAATCTTAACTGTGACATATAGTGAAGCTACCTTGGATAGAAGCAACGTTCATCTATGGTACAAAATCTTTTCGCAGGGCCGACAAGATATGATCGACAAAAAGCGTGCCGGACGCCCGAGCACGTCAACAATAGACGAAAACATTGATAAAGTGAAGAAGGTAGTATTGACCAATCGTCAAATTGCCGCTAGAGAAGTTGCTGAGGACCTAAACATATCGATTGACTCCTGTCATTCGATTTTTATTAATGATTTGGGCATGTCATGGGCCGCCGCGAAATTCGTACCAAAATTGCTCAATTTCGACTAAAACCAGCACCGCTTTAACATTGCTAGGGAACTGTTAGTCTCTGTCCACTATGACCCAAATTTGCTCCAGAGGGTCATAACTCGTGAATAGGTTTATGGTTGTGATATGGAAACCAAAACTCAATCATCCCAATGGAAGCTGCCGCACGAACCAAGACCGAAAAAAGCGCGCCAAGTTAAGTTGAATGTGAAGGTTTTGCTTACAGTTTTTTACGATTGAAGGTTCGTGGTGCATCATGACTTCTTGCCACAGGGTAGAACGATTAATAAGGAATATTACCTGCAAGTTATGCGCAAAGCAACCAGCCAGAAGCGTTAGGATTTGGGGAATGGTTGCTTGTGCGCGAATTTTAGAGGTCCATGAAAAGACGACGCTATGCTACAATTGAGGAGATAAAGACAACATCGAAGGAGGAGCTGAACAAGATCATAAAAACAGATTTTTTGAAGTGCTTTGAGGATTGGAAAAAACGTTAGCACAAGTGGTGGGGATTACTTTGAAGGGGACAGAATAGATATTCATGAATAAATAAATTATTTTTGAAAAGGCACAAAAAGTTCGCAATACTTTTTGAACAGATTTCGTATATGGAAAGAGGTACATGGATGGGAACAAATGTGTGTGACTAGGTGTAAATGTGCTTTAATCAATTATGCCTTTATATTTTCCTAAATTTGATAATGCGTCGCTCATATTCAGTTTTTAGTTCCTTGAAATATAATTATTACTCATGACGAGGCTACGGCATAAACAGTGGAAGAGAAATAATGACAATTTTGATAATTTTATAGCCAGGAATTTACCGTTCTTTATTAATTTGGTGCACGTACCTAACACGTATACCGTTTGTGATAGAACAAATCTTAGTATAGCAACTTTAAAGTACGCACCATGCGAATTATCAATTCGTAAAAATGTAAATTCGTACGTATGTCTTCGCACAACTTTCGAAATATCAGCAGATATCGGTAGATGGCGGTAAACTTCTAATAACATTTTAAAATAACAATTTTATTTCTCAAGCCCAAATTGTGAATTATTTTAATGATTTTTAATACAATTATTTAATGAACTTTAAATATATTTGATTGATACATCACAGTACATCTCAGTTTTAACAATAAATTAAAATATTTTTTTTGCATTTTAAACTGATGTAATCAATCCTTGTCAATTTCTTTTTAATAACAAACAAAGAATAACATCAAAAAATTAATCACACTTAATGCATACTAGTATGTAATGTAAGTAAATGAGGTTTAGGTAATTAAAGGTTCTTGAACTTTGCTAAGATTAAAAAATCGAAACTGGGAGTGGACTCACGTGTAAATAGGACAACATGTGTGTACTGACCGTGTGTTAATTAGATTGCTTTATAACACTCGTTAGGCTTTATTTGTTCTTCCTTGTTTTAAAATTAATAAATTTCTTCGTATGATAAGCTAATAGATGGAATCATTACGGGAAAAAACAAATTTGATATGTTGAAAGCAACTACATATCGTAAGTTTATGACTTTTGCCACAATTAGAGACTTGTAACAATATCAATACAAATTAATTTACCGGAAATTGTCAAAAATCAATTAAAACAAATGAAATGTTCAACCTCCTGCCAAGAAGGAATTGTCTATGATCTATTCTACTAATTACATGCCAATTGATTAGGATTATATTGTTCAAGGATCACTATATACATACAACAAGTTGATATTATTATTATTTTAAGATAGATTAAGATCAATTTAGTATGTACCGATCAAATTAGACATAGAAGCAACAATGCCCTGAGAAGCTCGTGCTCACTTATCTACTTCATATCATCATCATCATGAGGTGGTCAGTCCTAAGACTAGTTGGACATTCACCTCCACTCTTTCCTATCCTGAGCTAACCTTCTCTAAAACTACAGTACTCTAATGTAATCTAATGTAGCCTCTACCTTTCCTAACTCCTTTTTCTGCCTCTAATATGTATCTGCCTAGACCTTTATGCCTAAGAAGGTATCCTACCAACCTATCTCGCCTATTTCTTATTGACTTCCATAGAGTGTTCTGTTCTCCAATTCTTTCTAATACCTCTTCATTTCTATCCACGGTATCCTCATCATTCACCTGAAACACCACATTTCGAACGCTTCTAACCTTTTCTTTTCCGCCGCGCCCATCGTCCATGTTTCACATCCGTACTGTGCCGCACCCCGAAGATGCACATTTAACAAACGTTTTCGAATTTCTAAATTAATCGCTGATATAATCTAAAATTGTACAATATCTTAATAAATTTTTCTTTTGTTGCAGTTGAAGGTGGACTATGGGCAAGCCCAGCTTTGGAGGAATTGGATGAAAGAAATGATATTGAAATTTATAGAGCAATATTAACTTCTATGAATGAATGGCAAAAGAAGCAAAACTCCAGAAAACATGAACACAATAGGTAATGACAAAAAAAACGCCTTTTTCTATATAAGATATTGATAAATGCATAAAAGAGTGAGATAGGTTATTTATAGGACAGTGCAAATACTGTAGGTACTACTATATTCGAATTAATGTTCAAAATTTAAATATAATTGGAAAAAATGGAATAATTATATTCTACAAAAATTATCGGTGACACTCGAATTGAGCACAGGGCGTAAGCAGGTAAACAAGTATTTATCGAGGGTTAGTGTATCAAGAATGGAATTGAGCACAGGGATCATACAGGTAGCAAATAAAATTACCGATGATAAGAACAACATTAACGTTGTAATGTTGCCAAATTTAACTGGTTTGTAAAGGGCGGGAGAAATTAATAAAAACAAGGGACTACCTTTATGCAATTATAGTTATCATTCTCTTGTACAATAAATAACATGTCTTCAATAAAATTTGGGCCGAATAGTCTTCTAATGTCTGTAGAACAACCAACACTTGCGAGGCATTCCATTCGAAATTTAAGAAGGAAAACGTCTCTTCGCATCACAATATCAATTGTTTTTTAAAGGTTCTGATTGAAATTCAGACACATAAAAATAAATTCAGTTAACCAAGTTGAAAAAAAAAAAATTAAGACGAAAAATACTGTTAAAAATTAATTTTATTGATCAAAAAATAAAGCTAACTAAATGATGGTGAAATATCAAGATACGACTACGCAAAATCGTTTCTGTGCTCAATTCAAGTGCACCGAAATTATCTTATATTAAAGAGAATTAATATTTACTGCTGCAGATAACCTCAAATTAATGACGAGAAATTGTTGCTGCTATCACGCTCTCGCCAGGAATGAAACTTAGGCCCCTGACTTTACGCACCATTGCTCACTAAGCTACAAGAGGTTACAGTAGTAACAAGGACTATATAGAAGTCACAGAATCATTGAACTAATGTGTAATCGTCATTAACAATGAAACATTTAGAACAATTTTTGTATGGTTAATTTCAATAATTTTACCACTACAGATAACTTCTCGTAGCTTAGTGGTAGAGCAATGGCGCATAAACTAGGGACCTGGGTTCGATTCCCGGCGAGAGCGTGACAGCAGGAACAATTTTTCGTCATTAATTTGAGGTTATCTGTAGTAGTAAAAATTAATTCACTTTAATGTATTGAAATTAACCCTACAATAATTTTTGTAAATGTAACGTTTTTTGTAATCGGTTTGCTTTGCTCCCATTCGGGATTCTACCTTTTGCTATAGAGAATGCCAGAAATGTTTTTGAATTGAACATCCCTGTAAAAGATTTCCTTTTATTCTATTAACTCATTTTATCAATCTAAACCTTTTCTTCTTTTTTAGGAAGAAAAGAGAGGAACCTAGCGTTTGCTACCCCGATTTGGGATGCTTCGAGTCATCAGGCCCTTTCGAATACCTTGACATGTTACCTAGTACACCAGAAGAAATAAGTACTAAATTTTTAATGTACCCCAGTCACAATAGTCGTAAGCGAAGCAGCACGCCACATCTCGAAATACCGTTCGGTAATTTTTCTGCCGCATTTGAATGGGCGAAGCAAGGTTTCAATGCAAGTCTTCCAACGAAAGTGATTATTCATGGATTTGGAAGTCATTGTAGTCATATATGGGTCTATGAAATGCGAAGTGCATTACTTGCTAATGTAAGTAAAGGAATAGTACGAATTCTTGTCACGATTTTTCGCCTTTTTTCATGAAAACGGCTCAAAATGTATCAATTATGGAAAACCTACTTAAAAAAATCAGTGGCATGGTGTTATAAAAAGGCTTTTGTAAATGAATATTTTATAGATACGGCAAAAAATACTGCATTTGATTATTAGAAAAGGTCCCCTGTCGAGAGGGGAGAAAGGTTATTCACTATAACCTAACCTACCCCACCCAACCTTCTTTTATTTTATGAGTAAAACGTTTTATGCACCCCAGCTGCCCTGAGACGCCGATAGAGTGGGATTCCTGCTAAAATTTCACGTCTTTGGAGGCTGATGCTTTCATGCCGGTATAACCCTTCTAGGGTATTCATTGCAGTGAGCATCCTATTTAGTGTAAGAAACAAAACCAAAGAGACATCAAATTTGAACTTTGTGAAGATAAAAATTATGTCTGAAAGCATTTTATCCTTTAGAGGCACCTTGAATTTCGAATTTAGAGTTTCAATATTGTAACTACTAATATTTTTTCAAAAAAAAAAGTAGTGTCTAATAATTTGGAAAGCTCATTATAGTCTCTGACGCTGAGGAGAGGAAAAAACCTTTCATACCATATTTACAGTATTAGTCGATTAGGCAGGGTTAACGCACCTTTATCATTGAGTCATTTTCTCCACATCTTTCTACGGCACTTTGAGTTCTTGTTTGCCAATTTTTTGTGCCGAGCTCAATCCAGACAATATCCAGCTTCCGTAAACGTGGTTCTGCCAGTCCCAGTGATATAAAGTGACAGCTTTGTTTAGCATGCCAGCAGCATGACTGTTCTTTTTCCATTTTAATAGAGGCTGCTACAAGCTTTTATGCAATAAAACAGATAAAATGATTACCTACGGTGCAACCGTAAGTTAATAGTCGGTAACTGTTTTAATAAAGACGCCGAAATAATAAATGAATGACACATACGTACAAAAGAAGTTCGAGAGCCTTCGAGAAAAAATGAATTAGATGACAATATATAAATAAAGGGAGTAAAATACAAGCGAATGCAGAGTGATATAAATACAGTGACAAAGAAATAACGATTTATAAATGCAGTATGGGATAAATAAACTTAACTACTCTGAGTTCTCCTTCTGTGGATATTAACTTCATGAGAGACTAACACTTGGCGTTGACTGCAGTTGTAATATTCGTATTTAAATGTTTGTGAGTGTAATTCCCAGGTATCTTATCTTCTACATCCTTTTGATCTTTTAGCTTGACAAGTAATTTCGTCAACTTTTCTTTGCTCGGCCAAAACAAACATTTTTGTTTTCTTTTTCGCAGTTTAGAGATGCTGAATCTTATCCGCCCTTTAACGGCTTCCATTATACTGCTAATTTTGAGCTTCAACTCCTCTGTGCCACTAGCCGTAACGATAGCTGCTAGGTCATCTACGTAGGCCAGGTATCCGGCGTAAGGACTTTCCATACGTAGTTCTTACTTTTTATATTGGCGCGTGTATGCGTTCCCGTGATACGCCCATGTTTGTTGACAGCCTACTTCCTTTCAACAGTATCTTCTTTTGCGCGAGGCAGCTAAGCCGCTCTTTCTGAATTTGGGGCATTCATTCTCCTCAGGCCTCGCACTAAGCAGTCCTACCTGGTACTATTGAAAGCATTTTTCACACCACATGCGATTAGCGCCTTCAAGAAGCTATGCCGATGAAAGAGCTTCCTTATTTTCTTCATCCATTTCCGCAGGATGACAAGGGCGTCAAAGGTAGACAGTTCCTTCCTAAAGCGAAACTGTAAGTCAAAAGGAAGTTGCGTTTTTTTGGATAACTTGTTAGTTTCTTACTTATTATCCTACCTAACTTTATACAACACAAACATAACCTAGAATGGGTATAGTCGTTAAGGTTTCCTTCTTCCTCCGGGGACAAAAAAACTTTTGGGTGTTTAATTTCGACCAGCCAGTAATGCTGGTGGGTGGGCAGTCCCTACAGATTACGCTGGAAGGTAGGGCGGAAGGCCCTCTTCGGCCTCCTTTCAGCAATCGTGGGAATGGGTGGGTGGGTGGTGGTTCGGATGAGAAAGATGAGACGGACGAAATAAATACAGAAAAGGATGAAGATTATCTGTGGAATAATACTACCCTAACATTTGCCTAAGTGATCCAAGGAAACCACAGAAAAACTCTTGGACCAAGGCAGACGAATTCGGAATCGAACTGGCGCCCTATCGAATGCTAAACAATGGACTAAAACCTTTGGGCCATGCCGCTAGGTCCTCCGGGGTCTCTCATCGGAAGTCAGATACCGGTCGGGTATTAGGAAAAACCATTACGGTTAATGGTTCATGTCTTTGTTCTGGCGGGCTTTATATTAAATGCCACCCTCATCAACGTCACAAATCTCATTAAGTCTCGTTGTAATTACCGTTTAAACACTAAGCCAATGAAATTTTAATTCTTAGTGAGTGGATTTTCAGCGAAATGGTTGAATTAAAACCGTTGAAATGAGCCTATAATATTTGTAAACACTAGAAGTCTGCAAACTGATAAAATCATACTAATAATTATTGTTAATTAGTCAACAAGCGACAAAAATTGTCACGAAAAAAAGTAAAATAGTAAGAACTATTTAATAGAATCTTAATTATCAATTTCCATTAGGTAGCTGTTTTACTATACTTATCTTATTAAATTATTATTATTGGTGTTTGTATTTTTTTTTTGGCGGAATCACCCGACACTGTCGTATACCCTGTGTCATTATCAAGCAGCTGGTCCGATCCTACAAAAAGTGGCGGATCCGCCGGGTACTGGATCCAGACCAGGTACCCGGCCCATCTCTACAATAAACATCGTTGAGTTTATCAGATTAACAAGAAAAATAAACAAGTGAAACCCAAATTGAATTAAATAAAAACCCCCAACCTGTAAAACATACACGTACTTTTAATATTTTGAGGGTGAATTGACATTTTGACTTTGACAGAATATTTAAATGAAACTGTTTGAATCCAATTACTCACGAAAGCTATAATTCATACAATACACTTTTAGCACCATTAATTCGTCTGATAAAAATCGCCAGTCATTTCTTTTATATTATGAAGTTAGTACTCATAAAGGATTTTCTGAAACACGCTATTTCCTTGACATATTTACTAATTGAATTTTATGCGAAAAAATCTTACAAACGAGAAACACGAATACGTTAAATAATTAATTCAGTTCATTTACATATCACCATCCCAATGTCTAACTAATTGCAGTTATTTCGAATAGATTGAAACAATTATATCCTATAAACAAATATTATAGGTAGGTGCATTTGAAACATGTTCTTAGAAAAATTAAAGAGACACAAGCAACTTTTTAACTTTGAATTGTGTGTTCTTTTCAATATATGAATTATAAGTGAAATGCTCTTTTTCACTATTCAATCTATTTTGATTTTTTTTAGAGGATTTCTAGGTTTCCTAGCAACTATGTATCTAACTTCTTATTTCGAATGAATAGAATCTAAAACTTCATTTACTTTCTCTAGCGATGTACCTCTTCCAATGTCTTGAATGCGCGCTTTTTCATACGGTACCTGCCAAAAGTTTTGTTCAATCATGAATAGTAGTGCGAGTCAAAAACAAGCGTTAAAGCCTTTAATATGTCTTCAAATATAAATAAACATCTCGTTGATATTTTCAGTAGTAAATGGTACCAATAACAGCACATTTGAGCAATGAAATTGTAGTGGATAAAATGGTCAATTCTTCGGTGCCGTACTGTATGGATTATATGCTTCTCACTAGTTAAGAGTTTGGCCGAGAGTTGTCTTCTTCCTTTTCTGGCTTAGTGCTGTTCTTTTCTACTTTGCACCGGTCAAACTGAAGGTCACATCGCTACAGAAAGTAAACGAAGTGTATCTATTATATTCACAAGCACAATATTCTTAGATACCTTCTGCTCTGCCTATTACAGACTAATATTAACTATTTCCTAAAAGTTCCATTAGTTTAAACAATATCGGTGACACCACGAATGTAAAAAGAACAAATTTGATTTTGGATTAAATTAATACTTGTTTGGATTAAATGCGTTTAAAATCACAAGAATTTGGTAAAAGTATTTCATTTTAGTAGTGAGTTTAATCTCAAAATTCGAAATATTTCACCATTATTTATTATATCACGATTCGGATATTGGTTACGTATGGGGATATCGCATACGAATACAAAACAAGATACGCACGCTTTTGGTTGCTAAATGTATCCTGTACCTGTATCTGGATACTTTTTCTATTTAATGAAAAGCTGAGATTACATGGATGTAATAATAGATACATTGTTGCATTTTGCATTTTCAGCTTTGCAGTAGACAATATAACAATGTAACTATCTAATAGATAGGCTCAAGCTCAATATCAATCAGCAGTTATACCTGAGAGTGTTCATTTTTTGTGGGTATCAACTATCAACGCATATTTCGTCTCTAGTATGACATGAGGAACGCCGATATAAGGTTCCATAGAGTCGTTAGATTTAGTGGAAAAGTAAAAAGGTTTCGGATATAGCCTTTGGATACACAAATAGTGTTCGAATAATGAGAAATAACTGAATAACTTGTTTACTGAATAACAAAAGTAAAACGTGTTAAAAGGGACGGCATTGTATTTTCAAAAATGACCAAAGGGTTTGAACATTTGAATATTTTTACGCACTAATAAGGCAACTATAAAACATGATAGATTTGGCAATATTTGAAGTAATAAGTAAGCAAGTAATTGAAAATATTATGTATAACTAAATATTATATTTGTTATTAAAACCAACATGTTAAAAATAGTAGTTCCAGAATAAGTAAAGTTAAGCAAGATTGAAATAGATTGTAGAATTTTAAAAGTTATTTAAAGCTTACATTTCCACTATCTGGCATGTAAAAGAAAATGTAAGAATGCCAATAGCGACTTCAGCTATAATCGTATATGGGTTCCAATTAAGATTATTTAGAAAGGGCATACCCATCAATTCATATATTCCAAATATATATAATTAGTTAAAGGTTCTGATAATCCGCCCAGTACATTACAGCAAAGAAAGCAATTGTTGGTTATCGACTATGTTCAATATTGGAGTGATAAACGTAGGAACAGTTGATGTAATAACTATTATTACTTTTTTCTGAATCGTTGTAAATTATCCTATTTATTCATAATTACAGCGTAATCAGTGGTCGATTTGTTTCAGGAAGAAACAAATATTATATGCGTAGACTGGGCAAATGGAGCAGAACTTCCAAACTATGTAAAAGCTGCTGCAAATACTCGCTTAGTAGGGAAACAGCTGTCTATGCTTTTAAAGGGACTTATCGACAACGTGATGCTAAAGGAGGATACTATGCATTTGATCGGATTTAGTTTAGGGGCTCATGTGGCAGGATTTGCAGGCTATGAGTTGGGAAACTTGAGTAGAATAACTGGTATGTAGAATAATATAAGCCATTATTTCTCTAAGTCATTCCTTCTTTACACTACCTTCACCACATTCATCGGCAAATTTTGCTTCAGGCGTGTCTGATCTGAATGCAAAGCAGATCAAAAGCATACTTCATTCTATTTCTGTTGTCTTTTAAAGACTATAAAGGAGAAGAGTTTGCTTGACTTTTACTAGTAATTTAATTCAGTACCTATTACCATACAGGGTGTTAGGTTTACTAAATTTAATTAGAGCTCATTACCTACAATTTCGTAATTATTCCTTTTATGGTGAACAGGGATATAGAGTATCTAATATCTAATATTCTCTTTGAATGACACGTATTATTAATTTTTATCTTAAAAAGGACTAGATCCTGCTGGACCCCTTTTCGAATTGCAAGATCCAAGGGCTCGTCTAGATCAAGCAGATGCTAAATTCGTAGACGTCATACACAGCAATGGTGAAAACCTTATTTTAGGAGGACTTGGTTCCTGGCAACCTATGGGCCATGTAGATTTTTACCCCAACGGAGGTAGAGTTCAAAAAGGATGCACAAATCTTTTCGTCGGAGCAGTGAGCGACATTATTTGGTGTAAGTTAGAAACGATGTATGCATTTGAATTTGTGCTATCACGTGTGGTTGATATTCGACCAATTGATTTTATCTAACACAAATAAAATCAGTGTGATTTGGGCTGGAACTAAATCCGGGCGGCGAGCGTGGTAGATGAGTATTCTGCAGGTGTCGTGTCAATCAGGCGACTGTAACGCGACTTTCCATCAGTTGCTGGTTACTGGTTACTGGTTTATCACCATCATAAGGTCGTCCGTCCTAAGACTGGTTCGACACGCACCTCCACTCTTTCCTATCCTAAGCTAATCTTCGCATTTCCCCAAAACTAAAACAATCCACATCCTTAACTATTTGAGAACAGTAATCTAATCTACTCCTCTTAACTTATCTCGCCTATTTCTTATTGACTTCTACAGAGTCCTCTGCTCTCCTATTGTTTCTAATACCTCTTCATTTTTAACCTCCTCTATCCACAGTATCTTCACCATTCGCCTGTAGCATTACATTTCGAACGTTTTTAACCTTTTATTTACCGGTTACCTTATTAAAATATACGAACAATTACGCGATTTCAGCGCGACGATAGTAGCGTCTGTAACGACTATGAGGAAATTCGCTTGCCAGATTAGCAGTTTAGCCGCAATAGGTTAATTTAATTCAATACATAACGTGTTTTGTGAAATTATGGTTAAAAATAGAAATTCTAACAAAGCTTTTCCTTCTATTCTTTTGCATTTTATAAATAGCACTACGAAAATTCTGCTTCCTTCGTGATAGTCTATTACAAACTGTTTTCACGTGCTACTGAAGCGAAATATTGATTTTATGAACGGAAAGTGGCCGTATAATATAATGAGGCAGCACACCTAAGATGCAAATGTTACTCTTTAAATGTCTTAAACATTTCTTTAATTTCCTACAAATGCGATAGGAGCACGAACACCAGCGTTTAGTTATCTTCTGGCGAAGATGATTTTATGATGTGGCAATTATTAAGACAAAAAAAATCGGTTGTCTGTAAAGTCGGGTTACTGACGATAATTGAACGTGACAACGTCATAAGAAAATACTGATGGAATAGTTTCATTTTTCAAAAGAAAATTTTAATTTTATTTGTTTGATAGATATTTTGTATGGATATAGAGAAGGAGGTAAATGGAAATGTATTATTGTATAGCAGCTGTCCACGCGGACGCATCGCTCACTC